GGGACTTATAAAGAGGGCAAAGCAGGAGTGTACAGCTGCAATCCTGCTATATGGTGTGGAAAACACACTATATCAGCCAGCGAGGACCATATGAGATAAAGCCCGCTTAAATTTTTCCCCTCTCCTGATATATCTATGCCCATTTGCACTCCTTACCCCTAGTGAACATTGGATGACCTATGAAGCTTTTTCCAGCACCCACTCCCTGTACAGTAACAAAACCAGGAGCAGCAACACGTGCAACCTGGGAGACGTAAAAGCCCTGGGCCAGCTATACCGGGGCAAGATGATGGAAACTTTTCAGAGAAGCCCTGGCTGGTGATGGAGTCAGACAAGGCAACCCCTCCTACCCTCACACGGCAATGCCACCTCCTATATAGTCATCTGTAACTGCCACTGTCTACCCAGAACATATTACAATCCTTGCACGAATCAATTAGAAATCTTCGTTTTCATTAGAGCTAGTCAAACCGAGCCTTGAGAGCAGGGCATTCAAACTGCAGGGGAAAAAACAAACCCTCCTGGACTTAAGGAGGATGTCAAACTAGGAACAGTTTTCTGTCACTTCGGAAGCACCCACTGTTACTGTGTCTCAAGACAGGCTACCTACTGTGAATAGGAATAAAAGATAGTCACGAGAGCAGCTGTCCTGAGAAAAGGGCAGCTCTATGGTGGATCTGGAAGCCCAAGGTTGTCTTTTTTAAAAAAATATAGTATTTAAAACAGAAGGAATAAAACAATCTTTTACTGGTCACATAAAACACTTCATAACGTCCAGAGAAGAAAGAGAAGACGAGGGCGACATATGCAATGTTAAAAATGGAACAGCTCCTGTAACCTAATTCTAGGGTCACAGAACGAGCAAAATGCTTTTGTGCCAGCTCTCGCACAACAATTCTGCTGTCCCGGAAAAGAGACAATCAAGCAAGAACACAACAGAGGTCTATGAAATCAAGAATAGCACAGGAGAAGAGAACTGGAAACACTTCCTTGCTCTTTCTCACAACACAAGATCTAGGCCCATGAAAACGATCAGACAGCAGGTTTAAAAGAAACAAAAGGGCACGCTTCTTCACACAACACGTGAACAAAGAGAGTAAAATTAATGCATAATTAAATAGCAAAACTCATGGCTGCAGGATGCCATAAAAACCAAAAGAATGAATGGATTCAGAAAAGGACTAACAAGTTTCTGGTAGACAGACATGGTAAACACAGTGGGTGCTAGACACAGCGGGCCAGAGGCAGCCTCTAGCCCAAATCCCTTGAAGAGATAGATAGATGATTGCTGGGAACGGGGAAGGTATCACCAGAGAAAGCTGACTCTGACCCTGCTCTCTGTTACACCCTTCAAGCACTTGCCACTGGCCTCTGGCAGAGACAGGACCTGGGCTAGACAGACTTTTGGTCTGGCTGTTCTGATACCTTCATCTTCATCACCTTTCTAATGTTTTCTTGCACAAATAAATCATAAAAAGGCTCTGGGCTGCCCTGTGATCTCAGGAGTCGCAGCCTCAGCCTAACACAACTCTGGCTCTAACCCCCCAGCGTGAGGAGTTTGCCATGGAAAGGACGCTCAGCCTCACTGATTCTATTGCTGACCCAAGCAGGAGCTGGAAAGATAAACCACAGAGGCTCTCAAAAAAGTAAAGGAGGCATGAACAAGAGCTGATCTTTGTGTTAGAATAAGCACTACAGATTTTATCCAGGCTATCTGGCAGTACTCATGGGGCAGTAGCTTGGTTCTAGCTTGTTAGTTGCAGCAATTTTCTTGTCCTTGTAAATCCTGCCCCACAGCCTTTTGCTCTCTGCATACTTCGCTCCGTCGGTGCCCCTCATTCCTGGCACTAAGCACGCTGCTATTTCAGTCCTGAGCATCCAGCAGAGAGAACACAGCTCAGGTCCTGCACCTCAATCCTAACCCTACAGTGCCTCTGCTAATCTACATGACAGGCACATAAGGCAAACTGGCAGACAGGATGGTGACTCTCTATTGAGATGGTTTAGGGGGATATCTGAGATGCTGCAGCACTCAGACAAAGCCTTCTCTGCTCTCTGCAGCCCTCCCAGAATGCTTAGCTAATCGAAGTGAAGAACATGATAAACTCTCTGCCCCAAGACAGCTCTACACTGACAGTTCACTAGCGATACAAGATCGCTCAGTGACATTAAAAATGTCAGCAAGCACCAATCAGGCTTGATGGAAGGGATGCATTAGTAGGCGGCGGCGGGGAGTGGGCCACAGGGCAAGGTAAAACTTCCGCAAACTCTGCCAAGTGCATTTTCTCCTTTTGTATTCCCTAGAAGGCTTCTTCACAGATCCCAAGACACTGTTGGCCTGGTGGCCATCACTGCCCAGGGCAGCAGAGCCAGGTGTGGAGCTCACCACCACTGATCACCAGCATTGCCAGATCAATCCAAAAAGGTTTTCACAAGTGTGGTGACTAGCAGGGGCCCCCGATTCCTGCATTGAGCCTGCCCAAAAGGCAACTCATGGAAACTCAGAAAGAAGGTTGAAGACACAGGGTGCTTGCCCGCACCATTCCTGCAGCACAGAAGTGACAAGGGAAAGAATTTATTAGACAAGAAAGCCTGAGAATGACTGTCACACCATTTTGAGAAGAGGGACTGCTTAGCTCTAGAGGCTCTCTAGCAGAGGCAGTGCAGTCAAAAACAGTTTCTTTAAATGACGTAAAATGTAAAAATAAAAAAAAAAAGTGGGGAGAAGCTAAGGGCTGTGCATGGGGAAAGGGAATTTGGAACGTATCTTGTTGCTGCTGCACTACACCCAAGCATAAAAAACACAAGTCTGCCCCCACTCCCCCACACCCAAACACTTCACAGTGTAGGAATGAGCCTGTAATTTTTCCAGCACGCAGTCTCACTCTTTTGCATTCCTTGTACTTGCTGCAATAGTTCCCTAATTCTGCAGGGTCCTCTTGTTAGCCTGCTCACAGAGACCCACAAGGGAGATAAGAGGGTGCAGATGGGGCTACTATTCTGCAGGAAACTGCTACTGTCAGACATGCCACTTAAACTCAAAAGAAGCCTCTTTTCTTAACATCTGAACAATCCAGGTCTCTGTCATTAACCATGACCTAGAAATTAGCAGTTTCACACAGCCCCCAACACCTTCACTTCACAGATCAGGTCAGAGGCAGACTCAACCTGGGAGGTATTTCTAAGCCAGGAACTTGCCAGAGGGAAGGGAAAAGGGGATGCCTGAGCTATGAAGGGAAGAGCAGGGGGCTCTTTACTTGTCCATCCTTGTCTCATACTAGTAACCCAAAAGTCGAGAGATACTGAGGCCCTATTGAGTCCTACTGCTCAAACAGAACTATTTATCTAGGCTGGAAATCCTCTCTCGTAAAAACACATGCAGATCCCCCACAAACATCCACAGGCAGTGGACAGCAAGTTGCAGGGACAGCAGTTGCCCCAGAGACGGCAGGTCTTAGTCACAGGGCAGGAGAGCGCTCTTCCTCTTCCTGCTTTAGCCTTGTGCTTGGTACCTCACTGATGCTCACCAGCCCTCAACTTAATATCATACTAGTTGTTGAAGCACCATACACGAATATCTGTCTTGAAGAACTGCCCCTTGCCTGCCTGTCTAACTGTATTATGATGAATCCCAGCTCCTAATATGCTAAATCCAGGAGCCTTGAACTACAGGAAAGAGCAATAAGTCATTCATCCCGGGGGCCAGAGGAACCGCACAGCTGGATCAACCTACTTCTTAGTAAACATCACGGTATACAGAGATTTTTTATTATTATTTTGCAGCCATCAACCTGCTGGTTATATAGCTGGTTATACCCATTCACCAGAAGTTTAGTGAACTTCAAATGGCGATCATTAATGGTCACTGAACTGCAGAATGCCCCAATGTGCTTTCAGATTTCATTTACCAAGGACCAGCAATCAGCCAAAAGATTTGCTCTGACAGCAGGGAAATACAAGACCCCTTGACAAGTTCAGTCGGGAATGCGCTGCCAGCATCCCTTGTTAGGTTCATGTTCTACCCTATTTGACGGAACAGATCATGCAAATTGTCCTTCTGCGGCTGCTCAGCCTGTCACTCACATTCCCATTTAAAACAATAAAGAAATAAAAGAGCCAAAAAAAAGCCCACAAGTACAAAGAGCTGTTTACAAGCAAATTGCATTTATCGAGACCCCTAATTATCAGGAAAAGGTGCAGAAACCTAAATAAAACATTAAATTGGATGAGGGAGGAGAATTGTACTTATCCAAAGGCTTAACTGGAAGGGCCACCCCAGTTTCTCCTGTGCACAGTCCCCAGGGCCCCACACTGTCACTGCTTGCAATGTTGCTAGGTTTTTTTTTCTTCCCACTCCAATTTGCCACTTACGGCATCACCACAACTTTCTGCGCAGATGGAGCATCTGAGCAAGGAGATCCATTGCGTACATGACAGGCTGCTCTTTAGCCAGCCAGAGAAGGTGTGAAGGAACACAAGACAGCACAGTAAAGTGCAAAGTATTTCTCTTTCAAAGTGAACGCAGGTCCTTCACGTGGATGTGCTGCTGAGACAGTTCCCCTTCCCCACAGCATAAGGGGAAATGCTGGCTTTTAAACTGGGAGATTTCCGTGTTTTTTCCAACCAGAATTCAATCTGAAGGGAACTGCACTCCTAGGAGCCTTAAACTGCTAGAAGACAGTCAGCAAGAGAGGGACAGCACAACCTCTGCTGAAGAAGGGCCTCACAGCGTCCTGCTATTATGCAGAGATGCCGCACTGTGCCTGCCACAATGGGATTCTCCCCAGCTGCAGAACACATCCCATCAGGTACAGGAAGACTCTATTAGAAGAGATACAATAGGGAGCCAAAGGACTCACTCAGCCCAGCTTCTGAGAAAATAACTCATTTCAATGCAAAACAGCAGTAGTTATTAGACACCTCCCTAAAGAGGAAACGAAAAGATAAAGGGGAGGGGGAAGAGAGGGAAATAGGGACCATGGCAGTTCGCACAAAAGTACCTTTTTCAGATTAATCCACTGTTTGAAGTAATCAGCAACTGGCAGCCCTAAGTACTGGCATTGTCCTGGTAACCTGTAAGAGAGAAGAGAGAGCAGGTTTGATTCAATTATTGTGTCCTGACAACACAAACTGTTTTATTAAGCACATGTGGTACTGAGAGGGAACAGACCCTTGAGTCAGCTGTAACATGCTGCACATCAGAAGGATCCTCAGTTCTTGGCAAAAAAATCTCACAAGAACACAACTTAGCTGAAGTCTTAGGTACATCCAACTACCTCCAGGCTGCTGGACACCACCTTATAGGCTGAACGTTTTAAATGGGAACTGTGTATAACTGCAGCGTGGAGCCCTTCTCCCCAGTGGCTAGCTTGCAAACATGACCAGAGCATCCAGGCTGTCCTTAAACAAGCAAACTCATTGCAATCCCCTGCAAAACCCTCCTGCTCACCCTGAGGCTTACGGGGCAGACAGAAGGACTTGACAGAAGAAACAATAAGGCAATTCAGCTGCGGTGCCTTGTTGCTTTCTCCACCTGGCCTTTATGTGTAAAATGCTGAGTGAGACATGAGGGAGGAAGGGAGGTGCCAATGCACTCATTTTGGGGTGGTAATGCTGCAGGGCCACCATTTGTAGGAGCGTGCTGAGAAAGCAGAGGTTGCTTTTCAAGCAGATGCCTGGAAGAAGAGGGCAGTCACAGCTCTGAAGATGCAAAGCATAGCACGCTGTCTCAGTAAGGGCGTGAGAGCCAGCACTCAGAGCTGTCAGTGTGAGTATTTAACCTCTCTCTTCCTACAGCAAGCAGCCAGAACAGGGCTCACAAAATAAAGCTCTACTGAAAAAGGAGGAGGATTCCCTGAAGGGACAAGAGGACCCCAGGATTTTGAAAGCTGCTTCTCCCAGGGTTGCGAGCCCCAGCGTATTCACAGGGTAGCTGTGAAGTGCCCTCCTCTGTCAGGAGATGGGGAAGGCTGAGTAGAGCAAGGCTATGCAACTCCAGCAAAGCCTGTGCAGGGAGATGAGTTATGGGAGTTCTCCCCAGCCAGTTTGATCTGATCAAGAGTAATTGATGGATCTTGTTCACTCACGTACTGCTGAGCATGCCTGGGGCATTGGTCACAGGATCTTTAACTGAAGAAAAGGAACATCCCAAATAAATATGTCAACTAAATAAATGACTAAATTAGACCCGTTTCTGTGTGTTAAAAGCCACAACCCCAGGAACTAGCCTTTGAAAATGGAGGGGTGTGTGGAAACCTCACAACTTCCTTGGACATCTCAGGGCTTTCCGGGGGACTTTGTAGGGAAGGAGGGAAGAGCTGTGCCAGCATCAATGGGACAAACATCCCGACGCAGACCCTGTCCAGGGCAAAATCTTCCCCTCTGCATAAGGGGAAGAATGGATAACCCAGACAGGACTTCAGGTTCAAGGCTGAAATTCAGGAACAATTTCTGCTCAGATGTAAGCACAAGCCAGATACACTGCCTTGAGCTGGGGGTACATCATCAGCACACCCTTGCACAGTGCTCTGCTCAGCTCAGCTCCAACCCCCCCCCACCCCCCACCCCAGTGAACAGGGCAGTGCCTCTTCAGACCTATAAGCAGTTGTGCTTGTCAGAGGTGGTGAGAGTCACTTTCAGATAATGTGAGACTCAAGTTATCGCACTACTTGAGGAATGGTCCAGCCTTGGTTCTGCCTCCATTTCAATGGAAAGAAAAGGAAGCAAGCTAGCAAACGTACCCAGAGCAATCTCCCAGGAGTATGTGGCCAACAGAACCAGCAAACAGAGAGCGCTACTTAGGTTAAGAAAAGAATAGACTCTGTGCCAAAGCCAAACGCAAGGTCCTGAAAAGAAGCACGGCATCACTTAGGAGTAGTAATTTACATCATACAAAGAAATTTGTATAAGGAGGTCCAGAGGAATCTCTTTGAAAGTAGGAAGCCTGTCAAGAGAATGAGCTTGCAAGCAGGACTAAGACAATTTGCAGGGCAAGCAATGTGACTTGACAGCATGGTCTCATCTCTGGGCATGGCTCATCTGATGCTAGCATCATCACTCTGAAATAAACCACCTGGAGTCACTCCTTGCAATTGCATAACAGAGCTGTCACATAAAAGGCAGCCTGACCCATGCATTTTACAGCCGTTATACGTATGTCCATGACATTGTCCATTTCTTTCCTAAGAAAGCTCATCCACTAGGGAAGCTGCTTTCTACTGGTGCCAAAATCAAAAAAGATCACAAGGAAAAGGCACCTTCCAAAACAAATGACCAATTTAATACCACCATACGATCAGCTTAACCTTAGACTGCTCACATTTGGCTAGAGAGGATCACGACAGCAGGTAACAAAAGATGTGCTACTAAAAGTGGAGGTTTTCTTCCCAGCTTAAAAGGTGTTCATTAACATAGGTCTCCGTCTAGCTCCAGTTAGAGAAATACTTATTGTCTCTGGACAGCGGATCTTTAATTGGAGAAAATAAATGTTCCAAATAAATATGTCAACTAAATAAATAACCCATTTTTTAAAGCAAGTAACATAACCCCAGAAACTGTCTGTGGAGCTATGTGACCTCAGCACATTCCCCCTCCCGCTCTGTGCTTGTGCTCCCCTCATTTCACATTAGCACTGCATACACTTCTCCATGAAGTTTGTGAAGCACTGGAAGATCTACACACGTGCTACAACCTGGGCAGGCTTTCAGCAGCAGGGACCAAAGCTTAAAAACGTTGGTCTACTCCTTAAGCTGGGATATAGTCACTCTATGACTTTAGTGAAGGATCGCACTATGGTTCTGGTCCACTCTGGGCACGCAACCCTCCCAGAACACACAAGGAATGGGCGGCTCTTCTTGCACAGAACTCAGGTCTCCACGTAACTACAGGAAGGAAAAAACACCCCTGCACCTCTCTTCCCCAGCTCCAAGCCTTTTGCCTGCAGTAGCCCCACACTCCCCAGCCCTGGCAACCAGGCAGGAGTTTCTCCAAGGTCTTTCCCAGGTGCAAGGCACACCTGTGCTCTCCTCCTGGGCAACAAAACTGCCAAGGCTCTTAAGGAAGTATCTCCATTTATCAGGGTCACCATTCACTGGAGCAGCTCATTTGGAAAATGGACTCTTTCTATCAGCACGGCTCCTTGCTTTGGCAAAATTCAACCTTGATCACTGGGAGCAGCTTTGCCTGAGCAAAGACCTCTGGATTTGGCCCTCTCTCTAGTAAAAGTGAAGAGAGCAAGCGGCACACTTCATTCAACATCCTGTGATCCTTCCAGCTTTTGAATTAGGTCTCCCTGTCTCCCCAAACAGGGAAGTTCTCACTTCCTTGGGAAGGAAGGTGGCTCTCAAAAGCATCCCTTCAGCCAAACACCTTGCTTCAGGGATGATTGCAGTTGATAGGGAGAGCTCTCCCTGGACTGTGGTCAGCAGTGGCAGCTACACGCCATTTTCGGAGAGCTTCATCACTCTGGGCTCCATTTTCCATTCAGCCCTGCTCCTCCGTATGCGGCAGGGTAAATGGGGCTTGGAGATGAACGAGATGCGAATAGGAGGCGAGGTCACATGGCTGCATTTCTCCTGTTGAAGCCAGCTCTCTCCAAGCCGGTAAGAAGTGCACAGCTCGGCGGTGATAAACGGCCTTGCTTTAGTTATCACTTTCCCTAAGTTAAGGAGAGCAACCTAGTGATGGATGGGCTGGAATTCCGTTATCAGGGAAGGCTGTCAGCCAGAGTTGCCTATCTCCACACACATTTAGCAGGGCATCATTATGCAATGGCATGGAGTTAAAATATGACCAAGGGTATTGAAAGAAAGAATGGGATTAAAAAAAAAAAAAGGCAAATTGAGCAACAATAAAGGAGCATGAGGCGAGAACGTTATCATACTAGTGACACCTTTTATCTCGGTCTGGTTAGCTAGAGCAGGGCACAAATTGGTCCTTCCTCCACTATTGTATCCTCTTGTACAAACAGAGGCAGATAAAAATGTGTCACCAGTGCGATAGCATATCAATTTAACCCTAATTATCTAGGGGGTCAAGCTAAGAAATAGGGGTTTCTCATTTCAACAGGTTCTTCCATCTCTGCTCAGAGCCACCACATTAATATGGAAGGAGGAGGGGCAGCCATAATTGATTTCCATCACTCAGGTGGTCCTAGTGTATAAAAAATTAATGCTTGATTCTCCCAACTAATCAGAACTGGTTAATGTCCATCTGCTTCTGGGTTCAGGATGTCAGCAGACAAAGAAATTGGGCCACTTTCTACTCACTGGGTGTATTGATATTGAGCCAGTTAAAAGAACAAATCCCTCTTCAGGAAAGATAAAGGGACATTAAATCTTGATATTTATAGACCTGGTCTCAGCCTTCAAAAAAATCTATGCACTAGAGACCTTGAGTTGTAACAGATACAGAACATTTTAATTGTGCCCTGGCCAATCCCACTGCACTGGGCCGCCAAGGAGAGGGCAGGCACCCTCAGCCCCCTTCCCACCACCCTCCTGCCTTGGAAATCCATTCACATCCCCTCTGTGGTTGAAGGAGGGCGGGAAAGACTGAACGAAGCTACGTGGATGCAGCAGCACACAACAGCAACAAGGCAGGAGCCTAAGAGGAGAGCTGGAAATCCCTCCCAGCCCTGCACCACAGTTCAAGGTAAAGCTAGGCAAGGCATCGCTTGAATGATCCCCAGCCCTGGCAGCACTGCTCTCTTTTGACCAAGTATAGGATCTCTACCGGGTGCTCTCACATGACAGGTCAAGAGATAGTAATTTCTCCTGGAACTCTGAAAAGCTCAGGAAAGCTTGGGTGTCCTTTCCTAACACAGAAAGATGGCAAGGGAATAACATCCACACACTGAAACACATGAGATGCTTTAACAGAGCAACAGCACTAATGGAAGGCAAAACCACATCAATCAGCACTGAATCTTGCATCAGCTGAAGGAAAGATAGGCGTTTAAAGCAGTTTAGTTAAACCCACACTCTCCCAAGGGGACAGCCAAAACTGATCCAAACTTTGTTTAAACAGTAAGTCCCAGCCAGCAGAGTTCAATGCCCTGGGGATGTAAAGAGGCA